CTGATCCTCTTTCTTAGTGTTAGTGAGGAACCAGTGTAAAGACTTCAGAACTGGACTGATCCACTTTCTGAGTGTTAGTGAGGAACCAGTGTAAAGACTTCAGAACTGGACTGATCCTCTTTCTTAGTGTTAGTGAGGAACCAGTGTAAAGACTTCAGAACTGGACTACATATTTGTTTTAATGCACATTCAGACTTGACCTAGAGCAATGATGTTTTATCACACTGAGAGCAGGTATCACGTTATACACACTTACTGGGACTAACTCAAAGAGTTTAAACCTAACAATAATCACTGTCTTCAGCTTTGAAGCCAATTGGTTCTCAACAGGGTTCATCTCATGAGGCTTCATGTGAACACAAACCCCCTGTTGGTCAAAGAGTGTAAAACAGGCAGATATGAAATCTCAACAGTGTGATCTTTCTCATACCGAGTTCCCAATGAGTAAAGCCTTAGAATAACTCTAAACAATGAACATGAAATAATATTTTCATTTTATCAATATCGTATATATTCCAGTTTGTAAACTTAACCATTTTATAGACTCAGAAATGCTAAACAACAACAACATATACATTTATAAACTAAATAAATGTATATTTCCAGCAGTAGAATTCACAAATAGCTCCAAATGTCATTTGTTGCTCTCCCCCTCTATTCCTGGAGTGTCATACATTATTTCTAAACAACAGAGCACCTGTTATCTCAAAGATTTACAATACTTATTTTACATTGGAAAAAGGTTACTTTTCATAAAGTTTACACCTTGTTCAAGCTTTAAAAGCAGAATGTCCTTCACACGTCAAACTAGCCAAAGATGTAAGTGCTAGTTACATGCAGGAATAAGACGGTTTTAATGTGTTAATGTTACAAAAACATGGCCCACAGATGCTTCTTGACTCGGCGTGTCAGGCATTAGAGTCTCTTCTTACCCATACTCCTCTCTGTTTTTCACTTTCAATAACCCTGAACAATTTGTATTGATGATCTTGTGACTGTGTAACTCCCTCTCTTGTAATAATAATAATAATACATTTATTTTGTTAGCGCTTTTACAGGTGCTCAAAGACGCTTTACAGATATAGTGAAAAGAAAAGAACAACAAATAAATATATATAGTTCAAGTTAAAGTCAAATAATACAAAAACAATCACACATTAAAGCCAGATTGAGAGGTGAGTCTTTGTGAGTGTTTTGAAGGTGGTGAGGTCAGGGCAGTCTCTGATGGGGGAGTGAGGTCCAGAGGGAGGGGGCAGCGACGGAGAAGGCTCTGTCCCCCCAGGTCCGGTGCTTGGTGCGGGTGGGGATGGATAGGAGGTTGGCTTCTGATGAGCGGAGGCAGCGGGAAGGGGTGTGGCGGTGCAGCAGGTCTGTGAGGGAGGGGGGGTGTGGTGGTGCAGCAGGTCTGTGAGGGAGGGGGGGTGTGGTGGTGCAGCAGGTCTGTGAGGGAGGGGAAAGGGGTGTGGTGGTGCAGCAGGTCTGTGAGGGAGGGGGGTGTGGTGGTGCAGCAGGTCTGTGAGGGAGGGGGGTGTGGTGGTGCAGCAGGTCTGTGAGGGAGGGGGAAGGGGTGTGGTGGTGCAGCAGGTCTGTGAGGGAGGGGGAAGGGGTGTGGGTGGTGCAGCAGGTCTGTGAGGGAAGGGGGGGGGTGGTGGTGGTGCAGCAGGTCTGTGGGTAGGGGGAAGGGGTGTGTGGTGCAGCAGGTCTGTGAGGGAGGGGGAAGGGGTGTGGTGGTGCAGCAGGTCTGTGAGGGAGGGGGAAGGGGTGTGGTGGTGCAGCAGGTCTGTGAGGGAGGGGGGTGTGGTGGTGCAGCAGGTCTGTGAGGGATGGGGAAGGGGTGTGGGTGGTGCAGCAGGTCTGTGAGGGAGGGGGGGGTGGTGGTGGTGCAGCAGGTCTGTGAGGTAGGGGGGGTGTGGTGGAGCAGCAGGTCTGTGAGGTAGGGGGAGTGTGTTGGTGTGCAGCAGGTCTGTGAGGTAGGGGGGGGTGTGGTGGGTGCAAGTCAGGTCTGTGAGGGAGCGGGAAGGGGTGTGGTGGTGTAGCAGGGGTCTAGTGAGGTGGGGAAGGGGTGTGGTGGTGTAGCATGTCCTGTGAGGGTGGGGAAGGGGTGTGGTGGTGTAGCAGGTCTGTGAGGGAGGGGGAAGGGGTGTGGTGGTGTAGCAGGTCTGTGAGGGAGCGGGAAGGGGTGTGGTGGTGTAGCAGGTCTGTGAGGGAGGGGGAAGGGGTGTGGTGGTGTAGCAGGTCTGTGAGGGAGCGGGAAGGGGTGTGGTGGTGTAGCAGGTCTGTGAGGGAGGGGGAAGGGGTGTGGTGGTGCAGCAGGTCTGTGAGGTAGGGTGGGGGGGGGGCCTGATTGTTGAGGGCTTTGTAAGTAATCAGGAGGACTTTGAAGTGGATTTTTTGACGGACGGGGAGCCAGTGGAGGTTCTGGAGGACGGGAGTGATGTGGTCTCGGGAGCGGGTGTGGGTGAGGAGGCGGGCAGCAGAGTTCTGGATATGTTGGAGTTTATTTATGGTATATCAGCATGTGAAGGACACTGTTCAGGAACTAGTTGATGCTCTGTATGTGATGACTCCTTCCATTCTGGAGAGGATCAGAAATACATGGATCCTGAGATTGAAGCTCAAGCTGGTGATGAGTGATATTTTTCTAATAGTAAGTATACTGGTCTCTTCTTACCCATACTCCTCTCTGTTTTTCACTTTCAATAACCCTGAACAATTTGTATTGATGAACATCACATTCAACCTTATTTCATTTCAAAAGAAACTGCAACTACTGAGCACATATTGTTTATCCTGTCTTTTATTTGTTAACAATATGATTTGTTGATTACAGTGTACTCTAACTTATTCTGTATATCTTATTGTGTGTCTACCATAGCAACTCTGGAGGTAAGTATATTGTTGATGTTTATATGCATATCGGTTTTTTCTTATAATAGTTTCAACTTTAGTGCAATGCCTTGTTTATTAAATGAGCTGATTGTAATCTGTAAACACAAACAATATGCAGGAATGTGAGTCTGTTTCAAAGGCTTTTATTTTTAGTTTGGTTTGATGATATAAACAGAACAGAATCAAACTGGAAACATCGTAAATATTCTCTATATCAATAAGTCATTGGTTCTTCTTTTAGACCAGAACAGACTGATAACTCAACAGGAACTATCAAACACATCCCAATGGAAGTTTAACCCTCCTATTGTCTTCGTCCCCCCCCCCTTACTTTGGTGTTCGCGGTCAAATTTGACCGGTCCTGTTTTAACTGCTATTACATTAACATAAAAACCATTAATCATCACCACATTTCATTGAACACCCTTTCAAACTGTAAATATTGTATCAGACTACTGGTATACATGAACAACTGCAGTAAATATACAAAGAATAGACACTGAACATGTATTGCGTGTGCCAGGTGTGATCCATGTGGGGGGATGGGCAAATAAGAGCGGGACGTGTGTGTGTGTGTGTGTGTGTGTGTGTGTGTGTGTGTGTGTGTGTGTGGGTGTGTGTGTGTGTGTGTGTGTGTGTGGTGTGTGTGTTGTGTGTGTGTGTGTGTGTGTGTGTGTGGGTGTGTGTGTGTGTGTGTGTGTGTGTGGTGTGTGTGTGTGGGTGTGTGTGTGTGTGTGTGTGTGTGTGTGTGGTGTGTGTGTGTGTGTGATGTGTGTGTGTGTGTGTGTGTGTGTGTGTGTGTGTGTGTGTGTGTGTGTGGTGTGTGGTGTGTTGTGTGGTGTGTGGTGTGTGTGTGTGTGTTGTGTGTGGTGTGTGGTGTGTGTGTGTGTGTGTGTGTGGGTGTGGTGTGTGTGTGTGTGTGTGTGTGGGTGTGTGTGTGTGTGTGTGTGTGTGTGTGTGTGTGTGTGTGGTGTGTGTGTGTGTGTGTGTGTGTGTGTGTGTGTGTGTGTGTGGTGTGTGTGTGTGTGTGTGTGTGTGTGGTGTGTGTGTGTGTGTGTGTTTTATCTGATCCGGATGGTTACTAATTCCTTTTCTTTATGGCGGTCATTTTTGACCGGGAACATTACATTACATTTAGCTGACGCTTTTATCCAAAGCGACTTACAATAAGTGCATTCGACCAGGAAGATACAAACTTGAAGAAAACAGAATCATATAAGTACATCAGGTTTCATAGAGCTAAAACATTTCAAGTGCTACTCAACTGGCTTTAGATAAGCCAGTCCTTTGTTAGTATATAAGTGCTCTGTTAGTAATTCTTTGTTAGTAATTATATCGCTCGAAGTGGAGTCGAAAGAGATGAGTTTTCAGTCTGCGCCGGAATATGTGTAGGCTTTCTGCTGTCCTGATTTCAATGGGGAGCTCATTCCACCATTTTGGAGCCAGGATAGCAAACCGACGTGTTTTCGCTGATGGGAACACCATGGGTATTACAAAGTTGACTAAATCATCCAAAACTCAATGAAAGTGGTGATCAGCAATTTTATATGTTCAAATGTCTACTGTGAAGGATATCATAAAGCATTAATGCAATCGAATGTAAAACTAAAAAGTTAGGATTGATGAAAATAGTAAATCGGTCAGATTTGACCCGAAGACAACAGGAGGGTTAAAGTCACAACATTTCATTAACCAAACAGATTATTAGAGAAACTACTCGGCAGATGAATCAGTCAGTGGTTATAGTATAAATCAGAAAAGTAGTATGACAAAAACATTAAACATATTCAAAACTTCTGTTGATAAAGATGGAGTTTATATGAAGTCATGTATGAACATTGTCAGACAGAGTTTATACAGTCAGACAGATTTTTCTCATCTGAATTGTCGTAGGACTAATTAATTGTCCTCTTTTTTTGTTGCACATGCAGACTTGACTAGGAAAATGTCAGGTTCAGAAGAGTCTCCAGGGTTGTCCTCAGTCTCTGGTTGTAAATGTCTCTCTGGATCTGAGTTCCTGGCTGGTTCTGGTCCTCCACAGTCCTCTCCATCAGCTTCTGTTTCCATGTGTTCAGCTGAGCTGCTGGCTGGAGGCTCTGCCTCTCTGTTCTCCTCAGTTTGAGTTTGATGAAGCTGTGAGGACTGACGACCAACACACTTATGGCTTTTGACCTGATAGCTCTGTGTGAATCTTTCTTCACAAACACTGCAGCTGAATGGTTTCTCTCCTGTGTGGATTCTCATGTGTCGATGTACATGTCCCTTTTGTGTAAAATATTTTTTACAGACTGAGCAACTGAATGTTTCTCTCCTGTGTGTATTCTCATGTGGCCCTTTAAATATGTACTCTGTGTAAAAATATTTCTCACAAACTGAGCAGCTGAATGGTTTCTCTCCTGTGTGAACTCTAATGTGTCTCTCTTAGATGCCTTTATCACTGTGACTTTGTCATTATAGTTCAGAAATCTCATTATCAGAGTTCTCGGTGGAGTATCGCTGTCTCTCCTTGGCCCGACGCACTCTTTCCATTACTATTGGGCACTGCAGTGGACCCAAGTCCAACGCCTTCGGTATCCAGCCTTCCAGAAATGAGCAAGTGTCTGGGCCCTCAGCGCCCTCAGGCAGGTTCACCACCCTCAGGTTATTCAGCCCCGACCTCGTTTCCATGTCAACGACTTCATCTTCCAGAACGTGTTTTTTTTCATCAGTGTTTTAACTGTCTCTTGTAATTAATTCAGCGTGCTCGTCCTCTACCGTTGATAAACGTACCTCTGCTTGTGTTATTCTTTCAGTACAGTCAGTCAGACCCTTCCTAGTTTCCTTAACAGCAGTCAGAATCTCTTCCAGTCTGTTTGAAAACTCCAACTTTATGCTGCCTATTGCTGTCAGTATTTCTTCTTTAGCCCCGGTGAGCTCGGTGTTAGCCTCTTGGCTAGCTCTGTGCTCCATGCTTTGTGCCCCGGAGTTAGTTAACTTCGCTTGCGTCTCTGTTTTTCCCCTTTCTCTGCTTGACTTTCCAAGATTTGGCATCGATGCTTCGATACCAAAAGTTGCCCACACTTTTTGGGAACAGTTCTGTAGTTTTATTCAGGATTTCTATAGGATTGTAGCGGAGCAGGGTTGAGCGCGGCTTACTCGCTTGCGCTCATACCGGAAGTCCATTATTATTATTAATATTATTATTAATGATAAAATCGTTAATCAACAGTCAGTGGTTATAGTATAAATCAGCAGATCATTACGAGAAAAACATTAAACATATTGCCGACTTTTGTTGATAAAGATGGAGATTATATGAAGTCATGTATGAATATTACTAATTAATTGTCATCTTTTTTGATTGCACACAGATTTGACTATGACCAAAAATGTCTTATCACACTAAGAGCAGGTATCACATTATATATCACTTACAGGGACTTACGCAAAGAGTTTAAACCTAACAATAATCACTGTCCTCAGTTTCTAGACGAGTCCCCAGGCTTGTCCTCAGTCTCAGGTTGTAAAAGTCTCTCTGGATCTGAGTTCCTGGCTGGTTCTGGTTCTCCACAGTCCTCTCCATCAGCTTCTGTTTCCATGTGTTCAGCTGAGCTGCTGGCTGGAGGCTCTGCCTCTCTGTTCTCCTCAGTTTGAGTTTGATGGAGCTGTGAGGACTGACGACCAACACACTTATGGCTTTTGACCTGATGACTCCAGGTGAATATTTTGTCACAAACACTGCAGCTGAATGGTTTCTCTCCTGTGTGGACTCTCATGTGTCTGTTTAAATATCCTCTTTCTGCAAAAGATTTCTTACAAATTGAGCAGATGAATGGTTTCTCTCCTGTGTGGATTCTCATGTGTTTATTAAGATTTGACTTGGTCCCTAATCTTTTCTCACACAAAGAGCAGCCAAATGTTTTATTTTCTGCACACTTATGGCTTTTGACCTGATGATTTTGGGTGAATCTTTTGTCACAGACACTCCAGCTGAATAGTTTCTCTCCTGTGTGGATTCTCATGTGTTTCTTTAAATCTCCTCTACGTTTAAAAGATTTCTTACAGACTGAGCAGCTGAATGGTTTCTCTCCTGTGTGGATTCTCATGTGTCTCTTTAAATCTCCTCTACGTTTAAAAGATTTCTCACAGACTGAGCAGATGAATGTTTTCTCTCCTGCACTACGTCTTGAATCACTGACAGGGTCTTGTTTATTTATCTGAGAGTTTGAACCTGGTTCTCTGGTCTCCTTCCAATCAGCCCTGTCTTCAGTGTCAGGTTCAGATGAGTCTCCAGGGTTGTCCTCAGTCTCTGGTTGTAAATGTCTCTCTGGATCTGAGTTCCTGGCTGGTTCTGGTCCTCCACAGTCCTCTCCATCAGCTTCTGTTTCCATATGTTCAGCTGAGCTGCTGGCTGGAGGCTCTGCCTCTCTGTTCTCCTCAGTTTGAGTTTGACAAAGCTGTGAGGACTGACGACCAACACACTTATGGATTTTGACCTTATGACTCCAGGTGAATCTTTTGTCACAAACACTGCAGCTGAATTGTTTCTCTCCTGTGTGGATTCTAATGTGGTCCTTTAAACTTCCTCTCACTGCAAAAGATTTCTTACAAATTGAGCAGATGTATGGTTTCTCTCCTGTGTGGATTCTCATGTGCAGATTTAAATATCCTTTCCATGCAAATGTTTTCTCACAGACTGAGCAGCTGAATGGTTTCTCTCCTGTGTGGATTCTCATGTGGTCCTTACAATATCCTCTTTGTGTAAAATATTTCTTACAGACTGAGCAGCTGAATGGTTTCTCCCCGGTGTGGATTCTCATGTGTCTCTTTAAACTTCTTCTGTGCTTAAAAGTTTTCGTACAGATGGAGCAGCCAAATGTTTTCTCTCCTGAATCACTGACAGGGTCTTGTTTATTTTTCTGAGAGTTTGAACCTGGTTCTCTGGTCTTCTTCCAATCAGCCCTGTCTTCAGTGTCAGGTTCAGAAGAGTCTCCAGGGTTGTCCTCAGTCTCTGGTTGTAAATGTCTCTCTGGATCTGAGTTCCTGGCTGGTTCTGGTCCTCCACAGTCCTCTCCATCAGCTTCTGTTTCCAGGTGTTCAGTTTGTCTTTGATGAAGCTGAGAGGACTGAGGTTTCTCTTCATCATCTTCACTCTTCACAGGGACGGGAGTGAATGTGAACTTGATGATATCAGCCTCCTCCAGCCCTTGAAGCTGCTCTCCCTGCTGACTGCTCCAGAGTTCCTCCTGTTCCTCTTTAATGTGTTGGGGGGGCTCTGGGTCCTCCTGGTCCAGACTGGAGCTCCACTCCTGCTGCTCAGGGGGAACCTCTTCTTTAACCACCACCAGCTGCTGGACGTCTGCAGGAAACAGGAAACACATATTCAGAGAAACTGTAGAGTATAAGAATTATCCACGCCTTATTTTACAGATGTAGGACCTCATTTCGGACAGTTTGAAACGCGAGGGCCGTGGCCGGCATGGGGTCTGCCCTCGCTCAAAGGAAAACCTCCAGCGTGACTTGAGACCGCCCCCTTGATAAATAAATGTAATTATAATGAAGCCAGCTGCAATGGATCATTGATCCACCAGGGGGTGCAGTGGGTTTCCACACTGGAGCTCATGTGAAATAAAGTCTGATACAGTACGGTAGATGTGCAGTATGTCTGGTACTAATGTATAGCGGATCTTTGTTAAGATCCATATGTCACGGATAGGATCATAGTCTGTGCTAAATAAGAGACATGTAATCATTTACAAAACATCACCATGTTTTTATTTAACAAAATAAGGTTGTTTAGTCCACAACTACTGTACAAAAAACATCAGGAAGCCCGCCGGCTCCAAAAACGAACGGGAGGAAATGCAGCCCGGCTCTCGATTTTTAATCCTAATTTAATCATCATCTTCACCACGATCATTTATGTTTATGTTCACCGAATTGACATGAAAGCACTGACAAATATGAATATACTGTATTCAACTTCATTAAAACGTTATTAACGTGTCTAAACTCAGTAATTCACAAAAAATATTTATATTTGAATGGAGCCTTGTCAGGCAGATCAGGATCCCGACGGGTGTTATTTTCCCCATAATGACCAAGTCGCTGCAAATTATCCCGCTTATTACATGGCCACATTCTCAACAAAGTAACGACATGACTCCCAATATTAATTGAAATGCTTTTATGGATTTAGAAAATGTGTTTATTGATTTAAAAAATAGTTGTATTGATTTAAATTGACATGCATCCGCTAAGAAAAATTGTCCGTTGTTACCGTTTTTTAAACAGTCAGAATGAAACGGCAGCTCTCAGCTGTGTGTTTACACACCGCTCCCCCCCCCCCCCCCCCTGATCTTTCTTCTCCAGCAGTTAAGTTAACTGTTGGTTACTCTGAGTGACAAGCTTACAGTTAGTGAAGTAACACTTTTTTTTTGTGAGTCACGACCTGGCTGTTTTAACAAAATAATGTTGTTTAGTCCACAACTACTGTACACAAATCATATGTTCGCCGAATTGACATTAAAGCACTTATAATTATATAACTTATTTTCTAATTACCTTAAATAAACTCACTAATTAATGAAACCAGTTCAATACGCATTATTCTTATTCTTATCATTCTTTATGAGCGCAGTAATGGTAAGGTATCTAATTACTTCTTTATTTAGAATGGTGATGTGATAGATGTTAAGGACTAATGTTTATAATAAATAGCCTAGTATTTATCCATATTCATAATAACATTTATATTTTCAACAACCATTTTTAATGTAAAAGGTTCATAAAATAAAAACACAACACTGTCATTGCAAGTGACACTCAGTTGACTTTTTTGTTTTTATGTTCTGTGAAGTGTTTTATTATTTTCGGGATGGGGAGACGTGTGTGATTAAAAATGAGTGACCAAACTAAGTCTATTCAAATTTAAATTCTTGACGGGAAGAGCGGTGTACATGTAAATGGGTGGCATAGGCTATATGCATTTGAAAATAAATAGTACCCCCCTCTGAGTGACTATCTGTTGACTTCACATCTTGTCACAAACTTCCTCTTAGTGAGTTTATTTAAGGTAATTATAGAAGCCCTATTTTATCAGTATGTCTGCACAGCAGTTACAATGGTAAAACTACATTAAAACAGAATTGTCCACATTGTTTCCTTAATAGTTACTAACATTAGATATTTTAATAAGATTAATTACTGTTTTTTTGACTGAATGCTTATAAACATATTTATTATTTATATTTGATTATCTTCACTCAAGTGTGATTCTGAAGTCGTCGATTTTCAGGCTTGCTCTGTGGGTTTTTTCATTCATCTACTGCAACTTTGAGAGAAAGATGCTTAATTTCCACCTCCGCCAATTAGGTTGTAACTTTGTTTTGGTTTGTTTTTTGTTTAGCTGTTGGACAGAAGGTTTCCAGAAAATATATTGGATCCTATTTCATGAAACTTGTTGAAAGGGTCTAGTAAGGGCCAAGGAAAAATAGTGCCATCGTTTATGAGCGCTGTACGCAATATAGGCGTAGTTCTGTTAGTATAAGATAATAAGATGTATTTTGTTGATCCAAAATCGGGAAATTGTGTTGTTATGAAATAAAAAATAAAAGATATCTTTTTAATTACTAACTCTTTTTTTTTTCCGGCGCCCCCCATAGGTTGATGCGCCCTTAGCATTTGCCTATACTGCCCTGAAAATCAGACCTGTTTTTTAAATGAAATCTGACGGCAGGCAGGCAGCTCTAATCACCTAATGATAAATGCGCCACACCTAATTGCCGGCCATTCAGCCACAGCTCCCTCTATAGGCGCGTTCACATCAAGTACTTTTCCCACAATAGTTCATGAGAACTTTAGTTCATGAGAGCTCTTTTAGTTCTGATGAACTAAAGCAGATCGCGTTCACACCAAAATGAGTTCCTGGGTGTGGATTAGGCAAATGAAGCCGCTGACGTCACTTCTTCTTCTTCTGCTTTTGGTTTACTGGCAGGCCGCAAACAAGTTCACGGCGAGTACAGTAGGTGGCGGTATGCACCTTAAAGTTGCAATCCGCCAAAAAACCGAGAGAAGAAGAAGAAGAAAAACCTGAGTATACTGCCACGCCCACCTGCTGTATATGAGGCGTCTGTTTACCTTCCGACCTCAGACATGAGCTTCGTCTGAGTTATTTAAGCAAACACAAATACAGATCGTCGACCAGTCAAATGCAATAGCAATGCTGATTCGGAAGCGATGGCGGTTAAGAAGGATTGACAAAAGGATTGGACGACGACATGCACGCGCTATGGATTGTGTAACCTGTGTGAAATGAATAAACTCTGCCAGGTGTGTCGTATGCACTGTAAATAGGCTCAGCAGCTAACACACCTTTATTATATATCCTCGTGAGAGCAACTGCATCTGTCTGCCATGAACCCTACAGAAACCTACGTGTTAGTTTTGGCCCATAGTGGCCTCCATTTGTGTCGTGTAAAATGGGGGAAATAAAAAGTTAGCAAATCCCCATGTCATGTTCATAAAAACATTTAGTTTTAGGTCAAATAATTATTACACTGCTCTGAAACTCACTACACTAACTTCTAAAATGTTCCCTTACTATAATTAATAAAAATATTGAACTCACAACACTGGTAATTACAAACTTAACCATTTCTATCTATAAATAAATAGTGCTTGTGTTGATGGACGCCATTTTGAAATACAATGAAATTATCTTTTTGAAAGCCACAATAAATAAAGCTTTGCCAGTTTATAACCGATGAAACATGATGGTATCAGAATAATCACTTACATGTGATGTATAGGATGCTACACAGGTCACTGTAAAGATAAAGTGTCAGAGGAGAAATAAGCAAGCTTAGTTACATGAAATGTAATGAAAAATGTAAGATACAGGCTCCGTTTAATCGCCATGTAGGTTCTCTTTTATTGCACACTCAAGACAATATCAATAACAGCATCACGCTGTCCCAGGTGTGTCGTATGCATGTAAATAGAAGTTAACATTTTCAATATAAAATAAAGTGTCATTAGTATCAAAACATATATATATATATATATATATATATATATATATATATATCTATATATATATATATATATATATATATATAATAACAATAGGTAGGTTCAGCAGCAGACACACCTTAGTGCAAAGTGAAGTGTCAGTATTAACAGTGGCATGTATATAATCTAGGGCTGTCAGTCGATTAAAATATTTAATCGCGATTAATCGCATGATTGTCCATAGTTAATCGCGATTAATCGCAAATTAATCGCAAATTTTTTATCTGTTCTAAATGTACCTAGAGGGATATCTTTCAAGTTTTTAATACTCTTATCAACATATGAGTGGACAAATATGCTTTATATGTTTGTTTATTATCATTTGAACAATGACAAATATTCTCATGAATATTAAACACAACAACCTGAACATTACAAATATTCGCCTCAATTCAACCTGGAACCTCTCTCATACAATAATACTGTGTGTGTGTGTGTGTGTGTGTGTGTGTGTGGTGTGTGTGTGTGTGTGTGTGTGTGTGTGCAGCTCAAGGCATATATGCTCGAATGGGAGCTGCCTGGACGCTGCAATAATGTTGCGCGCACTATCCGTGCTGAGTGTGCTGACTTTTCGTACAATGTCCCACTGTCTGGCTACCTGCATAAAGTCAAGTGCTCGGCGCAGTTGTCGGCGTAATGTCATTGAAACGGCTCCTTATATCCGTTAGCGCAGCTAGCTAGCACCAGATGCTAACAACAACAACACGTAAGGTGTGCCTCGCTCGCGCGAGTCGCGCCACACATACATACACACATACATACATACACACACACACACACACACACATACACACTCCCTCCCGGTCCTCCCGATGGCCAGTCCGGGCCTGCCAGTGAGCGTGGAAGTGTGGTCTGCCACAAGCGGGCTGCAGGAGCGGGGCTGTCAGCATCAGCTTGTCGATGGTATTTTACACTCGATGCGCTCTGAAACTACGGCGGCCGAGGACAAAAAATACACATGCGTTAATCGCGTTAAAATAATTAGTGGCGTTAATTTTTTTTTGCGTTAACGCGTTATTAACGCGTTAACTTGACAGCCCTAATATAATCACAATAATACAAAATTAACTGTCCCAGGTGTAGGCAATTTGGGGTGAAGTGTCTTGCCCAGGGACACAACGACATGCTGACTGCAGTGGGATTTGAACCTGTGCTCCCCTGATCCGAACACCAACGCACTAATCCACTACACCACACGCCTCCCAACAAGTCATTGTACAGTTTATCAACGACAACAAGTTTTTCTTAATTCTTTTATTGAAGGCCTGTTGGATTTAATCAG